TGGCAAACACAAGGACACATTACCTGGTGCGTCTGCTTTGCAAAAAGGATCTGTCAGGTGTAGTCTTCTTCTTCTGTCTCCTGTTATGGAGCAAGGACCAGGAAGGCTTATTTCCCTGGCCTGCCTCCGTTTTATGGCTAGCTCTACATGAACAGGAAGCCAGGGCCGTTTTCTAGGAGCTCAGACACTTGCGTTCTGGCTATGTCACACTTATATCCCCAAAAGAAAAGGAAGTTGGGAAAATCGGCCCCTGGGGAGGGGTGGCAGTGGTGTCTACTACAGTGAGCACCTCAGTAAAGGCTCAAAGGTCACTCCCCAAGATCCACAGCCCTCTCCCCCGCCCCACCATCCTCAGGATGGTTCTTAATTGACTTTGTTTTTGAAAAGTCTGAGTCTCAAGCTCTGATGTATACAAATCACCTGAGGTGGTGGTTGTTGGTTTTTTTTATAGATATTTCGGTGTTTTTCCATGGACTCACTAAGACTTTGGGGGTTGGCAGGAGTGAGGGGTCAGGGATGGGGACTGAAAGGATCATTTTCAACAAGTTCTCTACAAAATCTTGATTCTGGGGGCTTTAAAGAAGACTCCTGGGGAAACAGTAGCTCAATGGAGATAGAAGTCTCTGGGGCTTGCGTTTCAGAGATGAGGGGAGCTGAGACATCGGAGCAGGCCGGACTGGAAGTGTCTTATTCTGTCTTGACCCAGGGATTAAGGGGGTCCTCTTGGGGGGAGGGGAGAAAGCTTTACAGTTCATAGCTCAGAGATGACCCTCTCCAAGAAGCCCCATGGTAGCCTAGGAAGAGGTTCCAGAATAACCCCCTCCACACGCACTTGGAACTCACCCCTACCACATAGCTTTGATGTGACTCATCCAATTGCCAGGAAACTTCTGGGGGCCAGGCAGTCATTTCTCCATAGGGCCTGGCATACAGTAACGACTGACTGTTTCCCTGTGTTGAACCTGGAGACCTGGTGTGTTCCGCTTACAATACGGTCCCCACTTAACTCCCCTCCTCTCCCCGCTGCCACAGCATCCAATGCTTTCAGAGAAACGGGGCCATCCAAAAACCAGAGGATAGTCTGTCGTCAGAGGAACACGAATGAGAGGCCAAATGTTCACCCCGCTCTAGAGATACACGCTTATCATCCACGTGTGCCGGGGGCGCCCCTGAAAACCACTTAAGGCCCAGGTAAATGTCCCAGTAGCTGATTATACAGCATGAAAGCACCCGGTGTCCAGAGTATCTCAGTTCTAGAATGAAAACACCTGAACTCGGGTCAGGACCTCTCCCTCCCTCCCCCAGCTCCCAGCACCTGTTTGGAGCCCGGCCTGCCCTCTCTCCCCAGCCTCTCCCAGCAATCAGTTTACAATTCTGTATTTTTTTCCCTTATACAGAGGCTCAGACACATCCCACGAAGGATGAATCATATAAATCCACCCCTGTTGGCTGTCCCCCAAGACGACAACTTCCCTTCTCCCTCAGAGACGGAAAGTGAGCTGGCTATCAAATGAGAACAAACAGAATAACCAGACCTCCACTAGCTCCTGCCTGCTCCCTGCTCCTGCTGTGTACCCCGTCCTAAAGGCATGCACCTTCAGCTGCGCAGTGCGGGCCTCCAGTCAGTGCAAGGACTTTGGGGGGGGGAACTGGGCAGGGGGCTCATTAACTCTGAGATTTGGACCTAACCGGGTGAGCAGACAGGAGACAGGATCCCTCGGTAGGGGATTCCAGAAGCCTCCACCCACGATTCACCCACAGGGCCTCAACCAGGTGGAGTCATGGGGTGCCTGCGGGGCTGTGGGAGGCCAGGGGTCGACCTGGCCCCGGGAGAGACCCCGGCAGACTGGCTGTCTAGACCCCGGCCACCCCAGCGTGGGAGGCGCTGCAGGTGCTGTGCAGAGCTGCGCCTGGGCTGGGCTGGGCGTTGGGGGGGGGTAGGGGGACCCCCGAGCGCACTAGTGCGCATGCGCGTGCCGGTGCGGACTCCGCACACCTGTCCGCCCCGCAGACTTCATTAGGCCGCGCCCGGGGTCTGCGTCCTGGGCGTGCGGCTGAGGTGGAGTCCGGGCCATGGATCCCACGAGGAACCCCTGCAAGAAAGCGCAGGGTGAGCGTGCACAGGGGGTCGGGCTTGGGGGGGACTGGTTGAGTCTGTGGGGGCCTGCGGCCACCCAGCTGCCCCAAGACCACCGTGGAAGAGGCAGGGAGTGTGGCTCAGTGGTAGAGCGCTTGCCTAGCATGCATGAAGCCCTGGGTTCGATTCCTCCGAACCACACGAACACAAAAAGCTGGACGTGGTGCTGTGGCTCAAGTGGTACAGCGCTAGCCTTCAGCAAAAAGAAGCTCGGGGACAGTGCCCAGGCCCTGAGTTCAAGCCCCAGGACTGGCCAAAAACAAACGAAAAAAAACACAAAAAACCAGTACCACCATGGAGGCTGGGTAGGCCGCTGGGCTGTGGGGGAGAAGGGGGATGACCACAGGACTCTGAGGGTCCAGTCAGGCTCCCACTAGAAGACGCTGGGCCTGAGCCCCCCAGATAACGTCTTAGTCTAGTTTTGATTGATGAGCACCTCTTTCCAAACCAGGTGATAGGTGTGTCTTCATGGAGTACCGGCTGTGTACCCGGTTTATTTCTATGCTAAAATCTCCAAAATTGCTGCAAAGCTACGCCCGCACCCCTCCCCGCCTCCCCTCCATCCGGCTGCTGTCCCTGGACCCCTAACCTGCTAGGAGGTCTGCTGGCCTCCACCAGCGTCAGACTGGCTGGTGCACACATTTCCTCTGCTTGATTCCTCTCCCAACGACTCAGTCCCCTGCGTTATGCATTGCTAGAGAGCCGGTTCTACGTGAGGACAGACACACGGCTCCTTTACAATAACCAAGCCTCCTTAGTCTCCAGTTGGCATTCATTTCCAAAAGTCTGCATTTTCGTTGGAAATGAAGCAATTCTCTGACTGAGCATTGGGGAGGGGAGCTGGGAAGTGTGGTGTTCGATGATACAGAGACTGAGAGCAGAGTGTGTGGCCCTGCGCTCTAATAACTCACCCTAAAACCCCCACTTCATCTGATAGGAGTGTTTTCATGAGAACATGAAACAAAGTATTCATCTGTAAAAGGAGCTAACTTACCCTCATGTATGGAGCAGGGTTAGAAAGAAAGCCAGGCTGGCTGGGAAGTTGGCTCAGTGGTAGAGCACTTGCCTTGCATACATGAGGTCCTGGGTTCGATTCCTCAGCACCACATAAGCAGAAAAAGCCAGAAGTGGCACTGTGGCTCAAGTGGTAGGGCTCTAGCCTTGAGCTGAAGAGCTGAGGGACAGTGCCAGGCCCAGAGTTCAGGCCCCACAACTGACCAAAAGAAAAAAAAAAGGAAGCAAGGCAAGTTTTGAGTTTTGAGGATGTATGGAGGGGAGGTTAGTTTGTGATGGGCTCCTCTTGGGTTATCAGTGAAGAGAGGTCTAACCTAAGGAGGGAGCATGCATGAATTGCCAGACCAAAAAGAGTTCTAGGAAGAGATTCTGGGAGGGTTAGAGTGGTTCTTCCTAATATCCCCCCCCTTGAGTGTGCGTGCGTGCGTGCGTGCGTGTGCGTGCACACACCAGTCCTGGGGCTTGAACTGGCCTAGGTACTATCCCTGAACCAAGCTTCACTTCTGTCTTTTTTCTGTCTTTTTTGGTAGTAATTGGAGATCAGAGTCTTATAGACTTACTTGCATGCGCTGGCCTTGAACCAAGATCCTCAGATCTCAGCCCATTACATACCTAGGATTACAGGCATGAGGCATGGGCACCGGGCTTGTAGTTTTCTTAAGAGTAGGGACTGTGAGTTATACTTCATGGTGGTAGAGTTTGGGACCATGATGACCCGTGCATTGGCCAAACAATGTGATATTCAAAGGCAAGATTGTGCCCTAAAGTCCAGAAGTTATTTATTTATGCATTGTTGTGCTGGTCCTGGGGCTTGAACTCAGGGCCTGAGTGCTGGCCCTGAGCTTTTTTTTTTTTTTTTGGCTTGAAGTTAATGCTGTACCATTTGGATCACGGCTCCATTTGGTGGCTTTTTTTGATGGCTAATTTGAGCTAAGGGTCACATGGGCTTTTCTGCCCTGGCTGGCTCAATCCTCACTGCAGGCCTCCATCTCATCCTTGAAAGTAGCTAGGATTACAGGCATGAGCCCCCAGCACCAGCCTGTTATCCCTTTGATCACCCTGTCTGGGCGTGACTCTCTCCGAGCCTCTGCAGCAGCAATGCCTGAGCTCGCTCTAGAAACAGTTTCCCACATCTGCTTTTCTCATCCCACTCCCAGCAGTTGTTCCTTAGAATTCTCCAAAGAGATGCCAGTGCTCTTATCTCACACCCCAAATGTCTAGAATAGGACCGAGGAGCTGTTCCCCGGATTGTTCTCGTACCCTGAGCTAAGTGCCCATTCAGAACTGCTGGTGTTTGTTTCCATCTTCCAAACTGAATCAGCTCATTGACACACAGTGTGACGCACGCAGCTCCCAGAGGGAGACCTGACTATATGATTCCCATTCAGTAGGTGAGCAAATGCAAGTTTAGGATCCAACAGGAGAGCCTTTGCCGAGCAGGAAGTGGTACTTGTCAGTGCTAGCTTCTTCTCTCTGGGGCTGAGGACAGTGGTTGCTGCTCTCCACAGGCCAGGAAGCTGGAGGCAAAGCCCTGATCCCTGAGCCTGAGCCAGAAAAAGCACCCCGGGGCTCAAGCCTGCATGCTGAGGAAGCCCCGGGTGAAGAGCCGTCACTCCTCAGTGGCAGCACAGGGGAGAAGCTACTGCCAACAGCCTCGGCAGAGGTGACCGGGCCCAAGGCCTGGGCGGCGTGTGTGCCCCCCAGATGCCACGCTGTCTATGAAGACCAAACCCAAACTACATCCAGGCCTCTGCCCCCAGGGGAGGATTGCTCCTTCCAAGAAAGAAAAGTGAAAACAGTGAAGAGGCCCATTTCTCCAGTTCCTGACAAACAGAAAAAGCCCAGCACCATGGGCCTGGGTGACCCTGACTCTGTCGGTGCCACCCACAAACCAATACCTGCAGGCTCGGGCTCGGGGCCCGGGCCAGGCCACTTTCACCTGGCACACCTCCTCAGTACACTGGCCCAGAGCAACCAAAACGCAGAGCAGAAGAAAGGACCGCCGGAAGTGACGTGCCAAGTTCGAAAAAAGACTCGAACCTTGTATCGCTCGGGTAAGTCCCCCACCCCTCCCAAAGTCGAGGTGATGTGGGAGGAGGGGTCACCCATGGGAAGGGGGAAGAAATGGGAATCTTGCTTTGTGAGGCTACCATGTGTATCATGTCATTCCAAAGGAAGACAGAGAGAAGGAAGGTCTGGCTGGTTGGGAAACTAACCGCGCCTCAAGGCTTTGGAGGCTGGGGACAGTGGATCTCCCTGCAGGAGACAGCCGGGCCTCTCTCCTTTCCTGGCACATCGCCACCTGCTGCCCATTTCTCCTTGCAGACCAGCTGGAGGAGCTGGAGCGAGTATTCCAAGAGGACCACTACCCGGACGGGGACAAGCGCCAGGAGATTGCGCAGACTGTGGGAGTCACCTCCCAGCGCATCATGGTAAAGGGGCCAGCCAGAAAGTTAGCTGGGGTGGTGGCAAACGTTCCTTTAGGGCCCAGAGTATATGCTCAGCTTCCATCTGCATGGAGATCTGGCCAGGGAGACAGAGCCATGTTTTCCTGCCCATCCACAGGGCCACAGCCTTGGGCCCTAGAAGAGCAAGGCACCACGAAGATCTTTTTCTACAGCCACATGGGCAGAGGGATGAACTGGCCTCCTGTAGTCACGTAGCTCAGTGTGACGAGCAAGAGCCTGTCTCCCATGCCTCCTGTTCCTGGGTCTGTCTGCTACAGGTATGGTTCCAGAATCGCCGGGCAAAGTGGAGAAAAGTGGAGAGACTGAACGGGAAAGAAAAGGAGGATAATCTGGTAGTCCCTACCCCTGCCAGCGGTCAGTGCAGGTGAGAATTTCCTCCTCCTCCTCCTCTATGTCATCTCTAGAGGGAGGAAGCTGAGTCCGCACTGGGATGCTGAGGTGTGGAAGGGGAGGATGAGCGGGTGGGACCTGCGTCTCTCGGGGTTGGTGGTGAGTGTTTTGAGGGTCCTGTGCAGTGGGGACATTGCCCATGGACACATCCCTTTCCCTGCACGAGGACTCTGGTTTAAACCCAGAAGCCACCGGAACTACAGTCTTCCTGCTTTCCGCCTCCAGCTCCACAGCAGAACTCCCACCTCCTCCCAGGCCCGTGGACACAAAGCCAGACCCTGTCCCTGCGGGGCCCCCACTGGAGACCTTCCCGGGTGAGCCCCCCCATCAGCGGGCCCCCTGGGGAGAGGAGAGGGAGGAAGTGGGAATAGAGCATCCTTGCTCGGTAGAGTTGGAAGTGGGCTGAAGCTCTTTGGGGCTCTGGGCCAAAGGGGGATTCCTCTTGTGGAGGGATGGGACCCCTGTGCATCACCCCAATGAGAAATCCCAGGTGTCTGTCTCCCCATCTTCTCATCCATAGAGACCCACTTTGCCTTCTCTCTCTAGAGACCCCCATGCTGCTGACTTCTGACCGGACTCTCACCGCCACTCGGCCCAGCGATGGGGTGCCGAGGGCAGGGGTGACGCCCCCACTCTCCAGCCCCCCACCTGTTCGACGGACCAACCTTCCTTTTCCCTCGGGGCCTGTCCCCACTTCCCAGCTCATGCCTCTGAGGACAGACGCGCCCCGCAAGGGCAACAGCCACACAGACGGGCCTTGTGGTTTATGGGGGACAAGGTAGGGAAACTGAGGGAGGAGGACACCCTGAATCATCCCGGGGCAGGTAGAGATGGGGAAAAGAGCCACCCCAGGAGGTGGAAGGGCTGACATGGACAGCGAGTGGTTTACATGATGGGGAGGAAAAGCGGTGAGAGCATCTGGAGTAAGAACGATCTAGAACATCAGAGCAATAGAGCAGAGACAAGCGGAAGAGTTAGAAGCAAATGAAGGACAAAGGGGAGGCCGCCATGGTATTGCAAGTTAGGGTAAGCACAGAGACGGGGGGGGGGGAGTGGAGTGAGGACAACAGCAACTACTTCCTGTGTGCCATCTCACTAAACCCTCTCTGTTCCCCCCAGCCTCACCCCACCACCCACTGGCTCATACCTGGAAGACTTGGAGTCTCAGGACTATAAAGGCAGCAGTCAGCCGGGGCCCTTCCCATTCTCTCAGCCACCGCAGAGCCAGCTCTTCCCAACCCCTCCGGCCCAGTTTCCATACCTCCCCCCGTTTCCTTTCCCCTTCCTCACACCCAATTCACTGGCCTTCCCACCACCACCACCACCGCTGCCACCGGAAGACTCTCTCTTTCCCTTTCCTTGTGGTCCCAGTGGGGGCCCACCGCAGAGCTACTTCCCAGGCCCCCCATCAGGGCAGATCTTGCTGCCACCACCGCCACCTGTTGGAAATACAGGTGAGTTGACATGACAAGTCACCTTGGTGTCTGGGAAGGTGGCCGTGGCAGAGAGCCTCAGCATCTGGAAGGCCACTTGGGACCAAGGAGCCTTTCTGGTCCTGAGGGAGAGCCCAGTGCTGGCAGATGGCCCCCATTTGCAATGGGTTTCTCCACTAGGAGACGGGACTCTGTCCCCGAAGACATGGAGGTTTGCTGTCCATCATCCTATCCAGTAACTCCTGTGTTCTCTGGCCCCACAGGTGCAGCGCCTTGGAGTGACCCCTGCTTTCCAGACATGCCCTTCTCTGGCTTGTCTTGCCCACCTGCCCTGGGATACCCTCCTGGAGGGAATGGCTTCCTTCCTGATCTATTCCTCACTCCCTGTGCTCAGACCATGAGTACACATCCTTCTTCAGGCCTCAATGGGTTGCCCGAAGAAGCCAGACCAGAACCAGGGCCTTCAATCAGCAAGGCCCACACAGAGCAGCTTCCCCCTGCCCTGGACCAGCCAGTACCTGGACAGGTCAGAGAGAGAGACAGGAATAGTCACGTCCCCGAGTGGGGGACCAAAGAGTGAAGAGAAGCTGCTTTAGTGGGGCGAGACTTTGTGTAGTCACTGAGGCGCTGGGGGATCTGCTGGCTGGGTCAGGACTCGGTGGTTTCCCTGATATAGGTTTGTCTTGATAGGTTTTGGTTGGGGAAAAAAATGTGGTCCATTCCTTTCCCCCACTGCTGAAGGAAGGAGGAGTGTTACACTGCTGAACGTGATAGCAGCTTCTGTTATTTTCTTTCTTTGTGAGACACTGAGCCAGTGTCCATGGAAAGCAATAAAGCCACAAACCTTTGGGTTTTTCTGTATGATTACATGTCTCCTCATTGGGCTGATAAAAGGCTCCATTAAAAAAAAAAACATTGGCCCACTCATTGAAGGCAGCCCTTGGAAGAAATCCTCCTATTCTTCTTAAACCATATTGTAATCCAAAACCCAGCCCTGAGCCTGTGTCTGACCACAGTGGGGGAATTAGGGCCCCAAATGGAGAAACCTCAGGGTATTTGAGATGGAGTCTCAGATATTGTGATCAGTGATCTGTTTCCTCCAAGATCATTTGGGGGAGGAGGATAGGAAAGAGAGGTAAAGTGCAAGAGGGACCTAAAATGGTGTGTCAGGTGGACTGAAGTTCTCAGATGCTCTACCACCTCCAATCTCTCAGATCACAAACCTCACTGGACTGGGGTGGAGGATTCATATTTCCTTCACACACACACACATATATGTGGATGCATATATGGTTGTATACATATATATATATATATGTATATATGGTTGTTTCTGAGATACAGTATTATAATTTCTCCTGGGCAGGTCTTGTAGCTACACTCTCCTCCTCCCCCCTCCCCTCTACCTTCTGAATATCTGGGATTACAGGTGTGAACCATCACAAGCAGCAGGATCCATGTATTTTTTTGTGTGTGTGTCTACCATCCCTGCTATCAGAGGCACCAAAAAAAAAAATTATTTTGTCAGTTGTGGGCCTGGGCACTGTCCCTCAGCTCTTCAGCTCAAGGCTAGCACTCTACCACTTGAGCCACAGCGCCAGTTCTGGTTTTCTGGGTGATTTATTGAGATAAGAGTCTCACAGACTTTTCTTGCCTGGGCTGGCTTTGAACCATGATCCTCAGATCTCAGCCTCCTGAGTTGCTAGGATTACAGGCGTGAGCCACCGGTGCCCAGCTACCAAAACCTGACCCCAAGCCTGGGTTGCTTGGGGTGAGTCTCACATCCACATTGAACCTCAGTACCTCCCTTGTCTGGTGTGGTGGAGAGCCAAATTGGGCAGATGACAAACTTGGTAGAAATATTAACTATTTCTTACTGGCTCTGTGCTTAAGATCTTAATGTAAGAAACATAAGAGAGGAAGAAGGTAGGTGCACAAGCATTTTAAGAGAGAAGGGGTAAACAGAGACAGATTTGAAAAGGACTGGAAAGAAGAATACTGAGTAGGGACTGTGTGTAAAATAAGCAAACATTGGGATATAGAACAGGAAAACAGAAATTTACTTCAGGACAGATCTTATTCTAAGCAGAAGAGAAAAACTAGGGCATAGGTCTCAAGATGGAAAAGTGACATAACATTCTAAGGTAAGACGGAACAGGTTGCGAGGGGAATGGGAAAGAAGTGGGGAGAAATAGCCTGTGACACCGGAAGTAGAATGCAAAGCAGAGAACGATGTTGGGTCACAGGATGAACATGAAAAGGGGGAACACCGGAGCACAGCTGCGGTGGTCAAGTGGAGTGTTTAATGACAGAGCGGTGGAACTGAACAATCACAGTGTGATTTGTTCAGAGTTTCCCTGCCCACCATGTTGTGAAGATCTGCCTTCCCAAAAGCAAACGGTGCTCCCAAGTCAAGGTAAAACGGAATGAGCTTTGTGTAAGTGACACAAACATTCTGATTGGTTGAAAGATGACATGGCCTTTGCAGAAGTTTGGTGGCATTATGGGAACAATAAATCAGGCATCTGGTGTGGAGTGTGGTATGGACGCTGAGTCCTGAGCACTTGTTTTTACCTCTACATCAGTGTCCTGGAACCGTGCACCCCTGGATTCTAAGGGTCCAGTGACCGTACGCTGACATTAGAATGTTAGCTTTTGGAACTGCGTTCTTTTTCCCTGTTCTTCCCTGTCTCCCTTGTGAACCAATGTTTAGAAGGCTCTTGTAGCTGCCACTCACTTTTCTATTAATATTTTCCTGGAGAAAAAGCAATTCCTGCATACTGGAGAGCCGTTGTTTACCACTTTCTACTTAGACCTCTGGGCAAACACGTTTTGGCCTCTTCTAACCTCCACCTCTTACCGTTGATGTCCCCGCTTCTAACGGTGCGACCTCAGGACCTTGGGGCTTGGCTGTTGGCCGGAGCTGAGTGAGTCCTTACTCGCCAACTTCCAGAAAAAATAATCGATTTCCTTTAATTTTGTAAAATTTCATGACAAAATTTGTTCCACTAGATGGCGATCTACTGCTGGTTTCCTTATGATCCCTACAATAGTCTGGTAGTTTACAGCAGGTGTGGGGGGTGCTGGAAACGCTTCCTCAAAGTGCTCCCAGGGTCCCTTTCTGTGAACTCAGACTCAGCTTCATCACTTGGATGGTTGCTTGGTTTTCCTCAGTGCAATATGGGATGCTCAGTTAAATGGGAATTCCAGATAAACCACAATGAACATTTTAGTATAAATATGTCCTAAGCAATATTTGGGTGTCCTGTATTTGTGCTTGCTAAATCTGGCAATAGCACTTTGCTGAGGACACCTGTACCCCGAGAGAGGCCCAAAGGTGGTCTCCATTTGTCTTATTAGCTTTATTACCCATCAGGCTTCTGAGCAGTCCTGGACTCATTGCTGGAGCTTGCTAGCACCTCTGCCCTCTCGCTTCTCTGAACTTCACCCCTACTCACAGCACTTTGAGTCTTTATAAGGGTTCCATGCTTTTCTAAAAACAGTCCGTCTCCCCTTCTAAAACGTTTTGGGTTCCTATTTTCCATTTTTCTTGGTCGAATATTTTTCCTCAGTTGCTTATGTAATTTTATGAGACAGACCTTCAGAATTTATTTTTAAATGTCTATGTAAACATTTGCAGAAATAGAACACAGAAAGGGAATAAGCTACAAAAGGCAATGTGGCTTTTGCTTCGTGCATTCCAGGTTTTAAATAGCCTCAATTAACAGCAAATCTGACTCCTTAGAAGTAAAGCATCTCCTATTCACCCAAATACATTCTTTAACTCTCCCTCTGGACTAAAACGAAAATAAAAATGGTGATTTTTTTTCCAGTCCAGAAGAGAATTCAGAGATTCAGTTCCTATAAAACTAACAATATAATACCTTCTCATTTGAGTGTTATAATGAAGCACTGTAAATCCAACTGGGATTTACAGACACTGAGAGTTCTAGACAAACACAAAGGGAACTCGAATGTCTCCACTGCTTTCTGGGACCTGCCTGTCTCATAGGGAAGTCTGACAACATGAATGATGGAGACAACATAGGCCCATGCTCTGCTGTGCGGTCTGGCGATGAGAGCCAAAGGTGTCAGAAGCCCGGAAGAAGTCATGGCGAGGAGGCAGTCTTGAGAAAGCTTTGGAATCTAGGCATAGAGCCAGCTCAGAAAGAAGAGTAGCATTTGGGTATGCAGGGAAGGGAAGAACATTATTTCAGGCAAAAGTTAGAACAAGTGTAATACCATGAAGATAGAAAGATTGCTACTAGCAAGTAACTAGGCCTCTGAGCAGAAGAGGAAGAGGAAGCTGGTGGAAGAGATGGGGGTGGGCAGGGTGAGGCTTGAATCCAGTGCCCAGGTATGAAGACTGTATTTTAGTGAATGCAGGCACTGGCTGCTCTAACTCATGAACATGTCATTCCCAGATTCAAGCTTTTGAAAGACAAGTGGAGAATGAGCTTGGGAGGGTCTAGAAAGGAGTCACAGGGATACGATCCAAGGCCACTGAATTAGCCTGAGAGCTAAGCAGGGTAAGGCAGGGTGAGGTGAAGCAAGCACAGACTTGAGGGGTATTTAAATAAGAACCAATATGACATGGCAAGAAACTTAGAGAAATGGAATAAGCAAAGAGGAAGCAAACAAATACCTTGGTAATTAGGAAATGCAGCCATGAACTTCAATGTATATCCTACAAGATTAAGAAAATTGAGGCAAGAGGGAGGGCAGGGAGAGAGAAGAATGTTGAAAGGGGTGTCATCGATCAAGACGCATTGTACTTGTAAACTGGTTTGTTGAAAGGTAATGGAAATACAATTTATAAAAAGAAAAGCCATAATTGAGGGGAAATGTTATAATTGGGAGAAACAATAGAGACTGTGTCTATGTTGATGGTGAAATTCCCATAATTACCTGGGTAGGTGTTTGATGGAGGAACAACGTGGAATCGGAGTCTATAAGGGAGAGAAGTACTGGATGTTGGTAGTGGGCTTATTTGGCATAGGAAACAATGGTGAAGTCAGGACCAGCAGAGCATGAGAAAAGTAATCCACAGACAGACAAACATGTTGCATTTAATACAGAAACAGCACCTGTTACAAAAAGAATGAGGCAGAAGAAAGGGGATATTGCAGTGGTAGAAGTCGCTGGAAGTCGCCTTGGATGGGAAATGGGGGCGTTAGGTGCCGAAGAGGATGTTGGGCAAGAAAGCACGCAAATAAAGATACAATCATTCCAATCTAGAGAGAAGACACCAAGGTTCCAAGGATTGCCCAAAGATGCCTCAGCCCCATGTACAGAAAAATCTTCCGGGCTCATTTTTGTTTCCTCTTGCTGATGAGGAGTCTCTTGCTTTGTGACTGCCAGGCTGCCATTTTACAAACAGAAAGCCTTTCTAGGTGAAAGGCCATCCAGGAGATCCAATTTTGTGTGCACATCTGTTTCATGAAGCCAGGAATAGCTGAAATGGCTTTCCTACTTTACACAGAACTTAGTTCTTTGACAAATTAGTAACTCTGATGCTAACCACTCATTCAGCACTCATCGTATGGCTAGCTCTCTGCTGGATAATCTCATCACAAAACAACCTTGTAAGTCTTATCCACTGGACAGATCCACTGAGACTTAGAGAAGATATTTCAATATTTCCCAGACTTACAACAGGTGGAGATTTTGGAAAGGATTTCAACCCGGATCATAAGGTCTCAATTTCAATAAGAAAAAAAAATCTATTGATAGTTTTAGATAGAGAATAATGGAAGTCAGAAGGCTGAGCAGAGTGTAATATCACAATGGCATAAGCTAGAGTAGAGGTAGGATGAGGATCAAGTCCTCCCATGGGCCCTAGGTCTATGACTAAATAATGTAAACATTCAGGACTATTCAGTTTGACTTAAAAAGATACAGAAGTGGGAGAATGGAAATAGCTCATAAGAGAAAACAGGAAGACTGCATGCTCTGAAACTGGAAAGGGAACTGGTGTGAGGACAGGGAGAGAGGGAAGTGAGCGTGTATATAGGGACTGTGGGAGAAATGCAGGGAAAGGCTGGGTGCTTGTAGCTGGATAGATGGTTTGGCAGGGGCCACGGTTGTAAAGTCAAGCCTGACATGATTGTAGAACTTTCCCTGAAGGATTACAAGTGGGCAGATGGGGAGGGAAGAGGCAAGTGGGAAAGTCAATCCAGTGTGTAGGAATGAAGTAGAGACGTTAAGCTAGTGGTAGGGAATTACGAGGGAATTCAGGGAGAAGCAAACAATGGGAGTGATGCTCTGAAGAGACAAACTAAATTTGGTTAGGAGGGGAGATGCCAGATGGAGGCCAGGTATCTGGCAGTGAGATTAGAAAGTTCAGAAGTCTAGAAGAAGACATGGCTTCTGCCCCATCATCTTGCAGTGTCACCTGCATCTGATTTGCTTGTCTCTTCAGCTCTGTGTCCCGGTCAGGTGACCTCAAGTCCATCCATCCATCCATCCATCCATCCATCCATCCATCCATCCACCTACCCATCCACCCACCCATCCATCCACCCATCCATCCATCCATCCATCCATCCATCCATCCATCCACCTACCCATCCACCCACCCATCCATCCACCCATCCATCCATCCATCCACACATCCATCCATCCATCCATCCATCCACCCACCTACCCACTCACCCATCCATCCATCCATCCACCTACCCATCCACCCACCCATCCATCCACCCATCCATCCATCCACCCATCCATCCATCCATCCATCCATCCACCCACCTACCCACCCACCCATCCATCCATCCATCCATCCATCCCACCTGCTGTAGTTTTGTGATCTGAGAATGGAATCTTCCTTCCCACCAATGCTGTGGTCCTTCCTAGTGCTTTCTCACTTTATCTCTGCTTACATCATCTCTCTTCCATCGAATTCTGTCCCCTGAGAGCCTCCCCCTCTCCCCCGATTCCTGCAACCTTGTCCCAATCCGTGTATTATCCAAGACACAAACAAGCTTCTGTTTTCTACAGGCCCCTTCAAAAAGAAGAACAATGACAACAAGCACTCAGCTTCTCCAAGCACTGCTATCTGTACACTTCATTATGGAAACATATTGCCATGTACAGAACACATTTCAGTCTGGTTTGATTTGGTATTTTTCTTTTCTTTTTTTCTTTTTGTAGGTCATGGGGCTTGAACTCTGGGCCTGGGTGCTGTCCCTGAGCTCTTCAGCTCAAGGCTAGCGCTCTACCATTTGAGCTAAAGCACCACTTCCTGCTTTCTGGTGGTTAATTGGAGATAAGAGTCTCATGGATAATCCTGTCTGGGCTGGTTTTGAACCTCCGTCCTCAGATCTCAGCCTCCTGAGTAGCTAGGATTACAAGTGTGAGCCACTGCAAGTCTGATGATTGGTTTTCTATAATCATGAATCATTGGAACAGATAGTAATCAAGTACATTTTCATATCCAGTGAATTAGTCCCATGAACTGTGATTATAGGACAATTGTGTCAGCTGGTGTGACTCTGTGGAAGAGCTCAAGCTCCAGGGTGAGAGGCTCTGGGGTCAATCCCAGCACCAAAACATCAACAGCAAACCAACAGATATCCAAAAGAACAAATACCTGAGGTTTAAAGGAAGAGTGTTCTATTTGTTTATCTTGTTTGTCTTAATGTCTCAACTGAGATACTCATTCATCTCTGTTTGCTTCTCATTTGTTAATTCCAGGCTTATTTCAGGAAGTCTAATCTTTCTATTGCCAATTCTATCTTATCTAAATATCTTCTAGTACTTTCCTCTTCCAAAATCTTGGTAGTTACCTTCACACACACACACACACACACACACACACACTTGAAATTCTGTAGTATTTGTTTTAATAGGCCTGGCTTGTTGCTAGGATATGATTAATTGCATCTTGACCCTTAATTCTAGTCAGTTACCTGGCCCAGCTCAAGTCAGCCTGTGCTACCTGCTTATTAGCGATTCCACACGTGTGGCCGCAGCTGCCTAGTCATATTCTGTTTGTTCAATCTCTGCATCTCAGGGCAAGTCTCAGTCACCTGTCAACCTTTTGTGATGATCGCAGAGTCAGCAGATCCCTCGCTTAACTCCCAGCCCTGAATACACAAATGTTAAAAACTGTCCTGGCTAGCTTCTGGGCTGGGTGACAGAAGGCAAATCTTTCCCCTTCTCCGAGTGGCATGAAGCATCTTAGACACAAAGAAAGCTGCTAGACACAAGGGACTTAAGGTTTCTTCTTTAAAAAAATTTGTTTTCTAACGATAGATAATTGTCTCCTTTCCAGCCCAAGTTGATCTCAAAAGGAAAACACTCCACCACTAGCTGGAGGCAGAGGGCCTCTTTTGCTTTGCTGTCTTGTGACCCTTTCTCCCTCAAACTATTTGCTTTATGATGGCTGTCAGTCTATCTTGATTGGCTTACAATTCTGCCCCCTCCTACCCAGTGGTCTGTCGCTCTCAGCCACCAGTCCCTGAAAAGGTCTGAGTTTTCTGCCTGGTGTTCAGGTGCTCTGGGCCTGCGAGCACAATTAACCCAGTGCTCATCCTCACTGCATCCCCCTCGACTTCCCTTCACCATCTCCATTGTTCAGAGACAGTCTCCACTCTGAAAGGCTGAGGTAAAGGGGCAGGAAAATACACATCTGCTCATGGGTGCTCCTGAAGAGCTCTGTAGGCCTGGCTATTCCTTCCTTCCATCTGACCTCAGCCCTGGGGCCCATGACTCATTCCCAGGCAGAAGGAGCAGCCGGCGCCTTCACCCTCACCGGCTCCACAAAAACCATCTGCAGCATCCCTCACCCAAGCTCCTCTTCTCCACAGACTCCCAGTTCACAGCCCCCGCTGGAAGAACCAATTCCTCATGCACTCGGCCTTCATTTCTTTCAGTGGCCTCCTTTGTTTATTTTTGCAATTTTCCCTGGGAAACTGCAGACGGGTTGGATAGTCTTAACAAGGAAGAAGTGAAGGAAATTTCCACTCCATAACTGTCATTGAAAACAGGCCAGTCGGAAAAAAAAATGAGTGAAAGACTATTAAGCATAGCAATAAATAAATAAATGTTCTAAATTTAGGCAAGACGTGTGTTTGAATCATGACAGGGTTTGGCAGCTGCTTCTCTTTAGCTTATTTACCTGTCACCTTCAGCCCTTCCACACGCCTCATTTCAAAAGAAGGCTGAACTGAACTCAGATACAGGTTAATCACGCAGCTCCTGAGTCATGTTTACAGCCCGTGTAGATCCAGGGTCACTAGTCTGTGTCAGTGATACAAGGTATTTATAGAGCGGTCTCCTAAACCAGGCATACCCAGGCACAAGTGTTTTGGATGTGACTGGGGGAAGGTGGGAGGGCCCATCATGCTAAAATGAGGAATTCTTCATGTGATTCCACACACATAAAGAACTGATGAGAAAGGTGACATCACTCAAGATTCATATTTAGTGATATGACAGCCCCCCCCCAGCATGGGTAGGTCCACATGGGAGTCAAAACAAGGGAATCAAGCTTATATCCGAGAGATTAAGTGTATGTACACCCACAGGGAAAAGTTCAGCTAATGTAGTTCTTTTAGACCTTTAAAGCCTTAACAATTTCTTTTTTTCTTTCTTTATTTTTTTGGGGGGGAGGGATTGGTCATGGGGCTTGAACTCTGGGCTTGGGTGCTGCCCCTCAGCTCTTCAGCTCAAGGCTAGCGCTCTACTACTTGAGCCACAGCACCACTTCCAGCTTTTTCTGCTTATGTGGTGCTGAGGAATTGAACCCAGGGCCTCATGCATGCAAGGCAAGCACTCTACCACTGAGCCAGCTTCCCAGCACCAAAACAATTTCTATCTCAAAAAAAAAATTCAAGGGGCTAAGGATAAAGCTTAAGGGAACAGTACTTGTCTAGCAAGTGTAAGGTCATAAGATCATCAAATGAACACAGAGACTACTCATGCTGTCTGTGCAATTTTTAAGTATTTAGAGATATCTCTTTTATTATTTCCATGGTACAAAGTTAATAGACACGGTAGCTGCAAGGCCAGCCGGCCTCTGATCTTGGATT